ATATAGTTTGCATGATTTTTAAAAATATTTATGAGAACAACAAGGTATCGTTGAACTTAGTTTTTATCACAAACTAATACCAGCTGGATAACCACTGATAAAAACAATCTCAGTGATCAGAGTTTTTGTCAGAAATCGAGATTCCACAGCAGTACCGATAGAGTATCGAAATTTGAACCTTCAAGTCTTGTAGTAAGCTCAGTAGAATCAACTTTGAGATAGATTAACTTCTCAAATTCTTCATCTTAATAATTATTATGTATTGACTAGTAACTAGTTTTCCGAAGAACCCATGAAGTTATTGTTGGAAACCGTAAACAACGATAAAGTTCAAACTTGCTGAGAATGAGGTAAATTGAAATAATGTCACGGAATATCATGAACTGACTGATTCTATGAGTGTGGCCCAATTGATTTTCTAATCACTGGTTTAATAACATCATCCTGATTGCAAGACCAGAAGATCTCTTGTTTTATCCAGTGTGAGCTTTATATATTAGTATTGATGAATATTTCTTATTTTGGATAAACCATCAATCCAGTACTTCCCTGGTTTTGGTAGTAGTCGTAATACTGCAGTTGATGTGAGCGAGCAATGAAAGCGAATATCAGGATAAACAGTCCCCGAAAAATCTTGATCTTATTAAGATATCGATTAGTTTAGTCACGTTTAAAATATTTCACAATTTAAACATATTATTTCATGTCTCTTACAACATTGCAATAGAAACAAAATTATTACAGTTCATATAACGGATCGATTATCTCAGTTAGACAACCATTGAAAACCAGGAAACAAACTACATCCGCTTCATCTTTATTTTAGCCTCTTCAGCAGTGAGCATTCAACACTTTCACTGCAGAACAAGTCGAGTTTAAGAGTTTCAGATCTCGTGATTAGCACATAACCTTTAAACCATTGAGCTGAGATCCAATGATGCATCCCTCTTCAATGCCATTGGTGGATAACCGCTTCAAACCTGGTCATAACTTGTTACCAGGACTCCATGAACTATTTCTTGAAATTAGGCGCGAGTGAGCACATGATTGTAAATCAATTTATGAATAACCATTATTTACTAAAGGTCGTCTCTATCTTTTTTCTATCCATGTTTATATCTAAAATGCTCGGTCACGTCTAGATGAGGACTTCTTGGACAGATGCTTCAAGCCTTCGTGTAAACAGTAACTAACAACATTTAAAACAGGACGAAATATATTTTTAAGTACTAACTAATGATCATCATTATCTTTTATTCATAATAGGTTTATGAATTTTCATATGTATCCTTGAAATGCACATTTACCGAATTATTTTAATAGAGAATATTGAGTTGTGTAGTTTCAACAGCCTTTGTAGTAAACATAATAAGAGAATGTCCATACATCTATCACTGTTCAATAAGTGCGCAGTATCCAGCATTTTGAGCATTTAATAATAGATTGATGTTATATACCAGGGTGTCATTTTCACTTGTTAACATACCTAACTTTAATTGATCATTCTTAAGTTCTCATTTAAAAGTTTTTAAAAAGTAATAATCTCATGGAATATTGTTTTTTCAAAAGTAATTTTTCCTATTGATTTCGTACTCACATGCACACACACACACACAGACTCACATACACAGTGCTGAGAATAGCGTTGAAAAAATATAGGTAAAACTTCTCCTTATTTTGTTACTTATTATTTTTATCCTCGTTATTGTTTGTATTTCACCAATAAGAATTGTCTTTTTTCTAGGTCATCCATTCATTCACCACATAGGAAATGTAAATAGAAAAGTTGGTATACAATAAACAACTATCATAACAGAGGCAATAACCACTGACATAACATTGAATTTAGATTTGATCAGAGGGAATATTCAGATATTGTCGTCCGTGTTATATTCTTTTCTCGAGTTAATTCTTTCTTTTTGATGTCGTATTTTGTTTGTTCTTTTCACTGTAAAATTTCTTGCTAATATTCATTAATTAAATATCTTAAACTGAGGGAAACAAATAGGGTTAACTATAGAAGAGAAGTATAGAAAAATAGTGCACTATCTTGACAAAGTTATGTGGTAGCTGGCAGTGAAATGTCAAGGACATGTGTTTTGAACCATTTTGACCTTGTCAATTAAGTGAACCAAGCACACACCAGAGCTCGAACCAATTACCTGTCGAGTCTTGGTGTAAATATAAACACTGAAAGAATATATATTTAATTGATGATTTTCAAATAGGGCGAAATGTGTGTCGTAGATTCTACTACTAGCCATTATTCGACTTTACTAAAACTCGTAGCTACATGGTTGTAATCCTACGCTATGATTTATAAAGAATATATCTACAATTTAATTAAGCATTTGTTTTGTCATCAAAATGCAACCAGTGTTAAATGAAACTGATAAAGTGCTGATGATAAATTCATTTAGTAGAAATAAAGGCTGATATTGCCTGCATTCTAAGAAATATATATTTCTAACAGTGAGATCCTAAAAGCAATTCTTAGGTTCAGAGAATATCTTATTAAAGTTCTGTTAATTAAATACTAATTATATAGATTTTACGTAAGAAAACCAATGTTAAGTAAATTAAATTTTTAACATTGGTTTCTTTTGGGAAGATTTAAAACGAGTTTGGAAACTGAAAGTTTGTGGAACTTGGGTAACACATTTAGGACCAGAAACTTGGTTAATATGACTTGGATTGTAGTGAACAGAACACGGGTGGGGACAATTGAATTATATCTAGCACGAAATTACAGAGTTACTTGTAAAAATAGAAAAACATTATAGTAAATCGTTAGTTTGCAAAATATCAATCCATCATATCAAACCGGACTGTTCCTGTTGCAATCATCAATCCATTTTCTCACATTTCATTGTTCATGCGTTTTCTTACAAATTGCATTGTGTTTCCGCTCTTCTTTTCTTGATCTTCCCCCATCTTCTGCTGCTAGACATTAGGTTTTTAACTCGCATCATATACTACTTACATCAATATAAGTAGCACGCACCACAGTGTCTTTGTAGAAAAAGAAATACTTAAAGTTATCTAACAATGTAGTAAAAGCTCTAGTAGACAAAAATGATTGTAGTCGAGAGAAAATCATAGATTACTGGAAAATTTTAACGGACCGTTCTGTATGAATATCTTAGTCTGACAACATTAAACTTTTGTATTTAAAAATTTGTGTATAATCAATAAGTTTTTTCAAGAGTCTGAACTTTACTTGATTAAAAATTGGATGAAAAAGCTTTGCTAAGTAAATATTAAAATGATGAATTTTTGGTTATTTACAGTCAGGTACAAGAATCTATTACTACTGTAGGAGAAAGGAAGGTCTTGAGGATTGTCGGATTTTATTGTTTACATCGTGAACTGATCTTACGTGTATATCTATTAAAAATCAGGAAATTCTGGACAGTCGCTTATTCTTAGTATGGAATTACTCGTCATTAAGTATCCAGGAGCCAATCAGGAATCGACAAATACAGGACTTTCATGATTCATTTTCGACCCCTAACCTGTAGACCACTAAGTTTAAATCCAATGGTTGACATTTCTGACTCTAATCATATTGTGATACTGCTTAGTGAAATTGACATTTAGTTATTAGTTCATTATTGAGGATGAGGGAGGGGACGTTTTCCATCCTTGTTTGTTATTCATAATAAAGTCACTTAATACTTTCAAGAAATAATCTTGACAATCAAACCCATAACGTCATGGCATTCAGTGAGTACTGTATTGTCTTCAGTATGATTTTCATTCTACTACAATACTTGAAATCACTAACAACCACTTAACTGTCAATGTGTTTTTTGTTATGGTCATTTTATGCAAGGTTACCTCAATGAGAATATTCACTAATATAAGTGTTGAAAATTATCGAGCGTTGACTAATTGATGATAATTTGTTGCATGAACTATCCGTCATTTGTTTTTATCTGAATTTTCTTTTACGATTTACAATGTACATGCTAGTACTTTTATTTGAACAATATAAATCTAAATTGTCCAATGAAATGAGTTTAATAATAAATCCAGCCAACTTACTGATAAGCTTAATTCAAATGTGGCTAAATATTTCATAAATTCGAGTGTATCATTTGCATGTACACTGGTCTATTTATTTCTACTTTAACCGTTCACTCTATTTATGAGGTATAAAAAATTGTCAAATTTCGACTAGATCTATAGAATCCGATCATCACTAAAATAAACTAGACATTACTCAATGATCAATCAGTTAATAATATATCTCAATTCTACAAGAATTCAATCTTAGCCTGAGTAATTCAGTGGTAACATCTCACACTGTCGAATAGGGTGACCAGGGTTCAAATCCAATATGGTATATCGTTCACTTTAAAAATACAAGTGAGCTTTAAGAAAGTAACTAGTTAGAATATAAAAATATTATTCGAAATAATTTAGAGGTTACGCCCAACATTTCTATTCTGGTTAAACAATGTAAAATAATATCTGATAAGCAGCTAAGTTATTTACAATGATTGGATATAATTCTGAGAAAAAACAGAAAGGTGAACAATCTACTCATTATTTGAAAATAGTTAACGACATCGAGTGAGATCAACTAATGAACTCTTTAAAAAATTTCGAAGAACTTTAGACTTCAACCAAATGAGAAACTCGTTAACATCATGATCAGTGCATTACGTGTCAACAAAAGAATTTTTTCTAAAAAAGAGTCTAACATGTTTTCTGTCCGATTTTCAAATCTAATGCGTTCAGTTTTGAGAAATTATTCATGAAACATCTCTTCTCTTGTATAAAGTAGATGAAATATTATTGAGCACCATTAATCATTTGTAACAGTAATCAGTGTACTCAATTCTACAATAAAATTATTAAGCATGTTTTTAGTAAGTCTTTGAAAAAAATTTCATACTTGTTTAATCTATGTATATCAGTGAAACAGGTATAAAATATGGCGTTTTACATAACTCTTTTATGTTTATTTTCTTGTCTTTCTTAATGTTTTACAGAAAGTAGAAGACAGTGATTCGATTTCCGCATTTGGGTAAGTTCATTGTTGTTTCTTTATTATCATTGAATGCAGTTTAGATTGAATGATTATATTTGATGTTTGGTAATTTAAGAGTAGGTTGGGAAAAACGTTAGAGGTTGTCAAACCAAGACATTACGTCAGTTCATAATATGGCTTAATGCTTAACTAAGATATACTAGTATGGGTAGACTACCTAGTCGGGAATAGCTCGATCGTTACAACCAATAGTTGGAGAGGTTAGGTGTTTTGTCGCATAGTCTTTCACCAGGATCTTAGCTACTTAAGACTGACCGACCAATTATTGTGTTTCATAAAGACTTATCATTTGAAATGTATAGAAGTTGAGATTTCATCATTTCGAGGTACTGAGAAATTAGTTCAGCTGCTAACTAGAGTTAGACAGTAAATCAAAAATTAAATTCTTGGATGTTATACTACAATTTACCATGGATTTTTTCCACAGAAAAGGATTTAGTAATTTATTGATAGCATAAATCTCAAATTCACTTAGTATCGTTTTGTTTGAATCTTCCCATTGAGGTTTAAGACTGCAGTTGATCAGTCTGTTATTGGCATATGTACATACTGTGCGTATTGCCTCGATATTGTCTTAATTCACAAGCTTTATAAGCAAAGATGGATAGTGGCTAGCAATGGAATCGAGGACGCGCGTTTCGTCCTATTTGGGACTCGTCAGCATCTCAAAGTTGATGTTCATTTTGAGGCTCGAACCCAGTGCCATTCGCTTCAAAAACAATCAAATTGTTCTTCTGAGAACATGATAGTCAAAAGTAATTCTAATATGGGGATTTGGACTCACATAAACAGAAGTATAATTCTAAGCGTTTTCCTAAAAAGAACAGTTCTTAAGCATTTCACGATACACAGATGCAGTTAGACAATATATGGAATAAAAGTGTGTTAAATGTAAAGACCAGAGGAGGCTTTATTTTTGTTGGTGGTGATGGTTTACATTTTTAAAAAATGTGTTTACTGGTTAATATCAGGAAATTTCACATTATGCAATCGGTTTTCGATGTTTGTTTCTTTGTCGACAAACTACAGATCTGATTGTTATTATTGAATGAGAGAAGAAGTAAATCTCTATATAAAGAGGCATTTTATATTACAGTTTCCTCAGTAATAGAAAATTTCTTTTCATTATATTTATATTTGTGTGCTAATGAAAAGTTTATGAGTCGAATGACCGGCGAGACTACAATTTATGGACGAACCAATTAAGTATAAAAGAACAGGTCACAGATTTTGGCGTGAAATCAACTCATCCATTTGGTTAAATAGAGTTTTGGCATTACATCTGACGTCAGATCTTGATGAAAACTCGAAATTTAATTTCTAACCTTAATATCATCAAATGTAATTTATAATTCTAATTCCTCGCACAGGTTTATAATTCTCATTTGGTGCTGGTTATTAAGTGTACACTCTCTCGAGTTCAGTCTAGTATCGCTCGAAGATCGTCCATTAATTATAGTCTCACCGAATGATCTTCAATAATAAAGAAATATCTGACATAATGGTGTCTTTTTTCAAATTAGGCTACAATATTTTATTGTATAGAAATGTTGATTAATTCTTAGTTGAATTATCCTAACAGATTATAGATGGATTATGATGAAAAATTCATAAATACATTCTTCTCTGTTTTACATTGAAGATATTTTAGCTGATTAACAAATATTTAATACTCTGTTTATTGATGTACTAAGCATAGGGATTCATCTGGCTAGATTGCTAATAACATTTATTATTTTGAGTGAATGAGCCATCAATATGTAACAAGAATCGATGTACCAATGTATTTTGGTTATGACTGGTTATACAAACCTATTCACTACTTAAGGTTTGTAATACGGTTGAAATGATTACTGTATATTTGTATTGATGGTATGATGATTGGAAGTCTAGTAGAGACTTTTTTTGTACTGTTTCATTTGGTTAATATGTGCTTATCCAGCTGGGAAACTGGCGTCTGTTCATAATTACAGATTGCATATGAACACACTATACCATATATTAGTGAGGGATATATCAAGTACCGATTCTGAATGCCTTTCAGTGGTATTCAACACTTAGTTTTTTATCCAGTAATATCCTAGTATAAGGAGGTCGTTCATTTAATTAGAGTGAAATACTGCTGATTGAGATAGATATAACGCTGGTTTAAAGCGAGGACAATTGTCCTTTTTCAACTTTCAACGAAAGTATTGTAGTGAATGAGAACACAAGTGGGGACAACCGAATGAATTTGAATAGAAAATTACAGAATCTTGGTAAAATCTGAGAACCATACAGTAAATACTTCATTTGCAAAATTTCAATCAATCGCTTCAGTCTTCACTGTTCCTTCATTTCCACACCAATCATTTACTGTTCTCGTTCTCTTTTCTTCAACATTCATAAAGTGTGTTAGAGATGCATAAAAGTGTTATTCTTACTGGGGATAAGTTAAAGGTGCCTTCATATATTTTTAATTAATTACACTACTGTAGCGCACATCAGCTTACCTGATGGGAAAGGAAAAAAGGAGAGAAGTTAGAGCTTGAAATTAAACCCTCAGTGAAAATTATACTATTACATGAGGCATTAAATCACTAAATGAACAGAAAAAAGCTAGATCTTGCACACATTGACAATCGAAGAGCAGACAGATTACCGGTTCACAAACACATCCTATCTCCTAGGTAATCACTATATCAGTTTTGAATTTCAACCAATGATATTAGAAATAAACAGAATACCTAACTTATTGAGACTCATGAACAGATTAGAGATTTATTCATTTCTCTGTGACTGTACTGAAAATAATGACCTATGAACTCGTGATCTTAACTTATGATTCAGGTGATCAGTCGAAAAGTTTTTCTTAATCAGTGATAAATTTCAACCACTGAACGGTACACTTTTTCATATAAATTAATTTTTTACAGACAAAAATCTGTCAATTTCTCCTGCTTACATTGTACTGAAAACACAGATCTATTTAAGCATTTTATCAAAGCTATAACGCTTTTTAGTGCTAGGTAGTTACCTATACTAGGAATTGATTTCAGAATGTAAAATTTGTTCATATATATTTCTGTAGGGAACGGTCACTGCTGAAGCAAGTCAATTAATTTCTCTTTGAATATGAATTACAACAAATAGGTACATATCATCAGTTTGTAATTCAAGCTTATCAGTTACTCATTTTCGTGTTAGGAATGTAGAAGAAAACTCATTGAACAATTTTGTTTCGTTAAACCACAATTCATTTAAAAAAAGTGATGAGCTGAATAGTTTGAAACTCTTTAAATATGATAGACTTCAATGGCATATGCGTAATAAATGCCGTCCAGTGCTTCCAGGTTTTCCATGGTGGTCTAGCTTCAATTGACTCATGATCTCAACTGTTCAAAGAGTATATCTTTATGTAGAATTCTTTAACGTGTAGATCCAGATGGTTAGACTTTGCTTATTAATAGTTTGTATATTACATATTTATTTAAAATATTAGCTATAGATATAAGTAGATTATGTCTACATAACCAGATTTATTTGTATATTATTTCTTTTTTGATATTGAGGACTGTAATATAATCCGTCTTAGCATTTGTCAATCCTGAATAGATATTTTAATATTGTTTTTGCTTTAAAAGTTTTGTTGCGTTTGAATTACGATTAGTAATGAAGTCCAGGACTTGCGTCTCGATTTTTTTAATGTTTATCAGATGGATGAACTTGGATCCCAATACTGATGTCCATATTTGAACTAGAGTATAGTAGCAGTCTTCCCGAATGCCAACGCGTCATTCACTAAGGTACTAAGTTCAGATAGCCACTGTCTTGATTTATAAAAACTCGTGGTCAAGGTTCAATTGTGAATATTAACAACGGAATAATTATAAACCTTGACGAATTAACATTAAACCTGTTAAAGAGTTTGATGGCTATCATAATCAAGCCTTTGAGTAGATAAAACATTAGCATTTGATGTGATAGGTAGTAGGTTTGATTCTCAGTGTGACACAATCAATACTAAAATTCAAGTGGATTCACCTGTGTAGAGATCAGAATGGGTTATAACCCATATTCTACATTCTATTGTTGATCATAATCCGAAACTACTAAGATCATATTTATCACCTACGTAAATAATTCAACAATCTATCTATCTATCTTCCATACTTAAAAATAAATATTTATTATACCTAATCGATTTTATGAAATCATTAGATGAAGAGACAAAAACGTTTTACCAATCAATTTATTAAGGTCAGTTTCTTTGAGATCTTTATGTTTACATGGATATTCATTTCTATTCATCTAAATAGCTTTTGTTTAATGTTATACATGTAACGTGGTGATAACATATTAACCTAATTATAATGGTTATTATATTGTTGTGAACATGTTTATCTTTTTTGCTCTCTCTCTCTTTCTCAAATTATTAAGGACTTTATTAATTTTCACTTGGGTAAATAGTACATGAACAGTAGAAATGAACGTGAGAGGTGATAATAATAGTAATAATAAAAAGCTTGTGACTTAAAGCTAGATTGAGGCAATCCGCACAGGATGCACATATACCAACATGTGACTGATCAATTGTAGTTCTAAATAACAATGGGGAAGATACAAGTAAAACAACATCAAGTGAATGATAATAATAATAATAATAGTAATAATAATAATAATGAAATGGCTGTGTCGAAAATCTAAAGTAGAAAAACAAAGATAGGGAGGTGAACTGGATGTCCAGTTAATTGAATATTTGTACAGGTTGTCTGAGCCGGTAATATCAGTGTGACCTCAGTACTAAATCATTTGCGACATTCCTCAGAGATATGTTATACTGTGATTTCTCAAGCTGCAATCAGGATATAATAGGAAGACCTTAAATATTGATATGATATAACTGGAATTAGAAATATGAACCGTTGTATACCAATCCAGTGATCTGGAAGTTAAGTAATCACCTCAAGGTTGAAATTTTCTGACTGTCTAAACGAATTTAATCAGTGATGTGAAAAATTCAGGTTCAACAATTTTCAGCAACGCCACGGTATAACAAGATTTATTCCCTAATAACATGTACGAAAGGCAATTTTAGAAAAGAATTTGCTTTTCCGGAACTTTAATTTTACAGACTACTCATCAAGATGGGTAAATAATTTCCCATTATAATGAAATTGTAAATGATGTTAAGATGTCAAGTTGACCAGTGGATGATACCATAATTGTCTTGAAAATATTGATGGAAAATAGAGGGAGACAAACAATGTGATCTTAGTAGAATCTACCGGTCTATACCGAAAATTAACTTTATTAGTAAATAACACTTGCCTTTAACGTAGATTTGACAATCTGTGCAATTCATTAGTTCTCGAAAATGATTCTTCGATTAGAAAATTTAATACGACAAGAATAAGTACATTGATTAAATGCTATAATTGTTACCAGTAGTAAAAATGAACAAACTATGTAACGATGTTAGTGTTTAACTTCAATAAATCTAAAATGTTATACGATTAACCATCATTATTTTTGGTTAATAACTGCCTCATGTTCGACTCCGTTGAACTCTACTGATCACGGATTCTCACTAGAACTCCAGAAATTTCATCTCGAAGTCAGTCATCAATGAGCATATGATAATTCTCAGCATAACGTTGTGTGGGTTTGTTGAGTCTTAATTGAAATCACGAACGGATTAATGTTAGACCATCATTGAAAACTTGGAAGAAATGGATGACTGTTTTGGTTTAGTATGAGACTCCTCAGAAGTTCGCATCTACGATCTGTATCATTATTACATGAATGATGAATGTTAGAATTTTAAGTTTCTTGGTTATTGTCTAGTACTACTGAAAGTGACCAGTAATAATAGGAGATGCTTGAATTAATTTCATCTCTACGAAGTATATTATCATCGTGTGCTTCTTTAGTCATGAATTACAATCTAGCTTAGAATAACACTGCATGAAAATGATCACCATTCAGCCTAAAGTATAAAATGTATCTAGGATAAATACGTTTAATAATCACTGAGTAATAACTGATATTGGTTATGTCGTGTATATGTTTGAATGACTTCTGGTGAGATAATTATTCAAAGAAATATGCCATATTTTTCCCATTTTAAATACACTATTTAGATGCATATCAATCGGTTGTTTTAAACTAAACACTTTTCATTCGAAATCCTATCGTTTGTCACTCAATACAAAAAATATCCATGCATTATTTTTACATTATGAAGCCTGGAACAATATCTAAACTAGTGTTGCTTTGTTTTGGGAACAAATTTATAACTATCATAAATTCTTTTTTTCTATACATCGAAATTGATCGATCGGTTGTTGTCAATTTGTTTTTTCTTGTTTTCACCAACAGGTTTTATCGATCTATCGAAAGTCAACCTGAACAACAACCATGGGGTAAGAAAGCGATTCCAATGGTTGGTGATTTGGTAAGTAATTAACACCGTTAGCATGATTTAGTGTGACTTGAAACATGCGAATCGTAGGATAAATGAATGTACCAAGAGAGTAACTTATTGCTTATCAGTTTTTATTCAAACGATTGAAGGTAGCTAATCTGTGTATCAGCTGTTAAAAATTATTCAAACCTAAAAAGCATTGAATAGGTATTTTCCCTTAGTTTGAAACTCTACCTTACTGATAACTCTTACATAGACGAAACTAAGGATATCTGATCTCGTAATGAACGTTATGCTTTTAGAGTACTGAGTCAAAACTCACTAATCCCAATCTTCAACCTCAGTTAATACTCCAAATAGCATGACAATTATACATTACCATCAGTAATAACCTTCAAACTTCCGGCGACATAATCTTTGGAGGTCGCAACTTCATAATAGCACCTCAACCATCCACTGTGAGAGTAGTCATTGATGAGTACGTAACTAATTTTAATTTCGATAGTTTGTAAGGAGGTTTATTTTAACAATTAAGCTTCAGTTGAAAGGGAATCAATAAGAATAAAGGAGCACTGGCAAACTATCTCATTCTAATTATAGGTTTAATGATCCCATGATGAATAGTCTATTCAAACTATGAAGAGGGGAAACACAACACGATGTCCATAAAATCAAGTAGCCTAAGATTGAGTTTCTTGAGCTAAAAAGTTAATTTATTCAATCTAATATGAGCCTCCTCAGCTGATAACATAGTCAAATATCATTAGGGTTAAAACGGAACAATAATAAATTAGAGAAATAATCTAACTAATCATTCGTAAAAAGTAGTTTAGTTTTTATAAGTCAATTATTAAACTACAATTTGGGCTATATCTTTTATTTATTTAAAAGGAGTGAGAGAAATAGTAAGAAATATAGCTCATTATCAAATTATACTGCATTTCCTGTTTCACTGAAATTTGCAATCATTCACTTCAGTAGACTGCTGATGAATTTATAACGATTTATGTGTGAGTGAGTATATATATGTGTTCATGTAGATAATCATCTTCATCCACTATTAAAATCTGAGCGAATATTTTTTCAATTATAAAGTTCACAGGTGAAACTATAATTAATGGACGATCTTCGAGCGATACTAGACTGAACTCGAGAGAGTGTACACTTAATAACCAGCACCAAATGAGGGTTATAAACCTGTGCGAGGAATTAGAATTATAAATTACATTTGATGATATTAAGGTTAGAAATTAAATTTCAAGTTTTCATCAAGATCTGACGTCAGCTATAATGCCAAAACTCTATTTATCCAAATGGATGAGTTGATTTCACGCCCAAATCTGTGACCTGTTGTTTTATACTTAATTGGTTCGTCCATAAATTATAGTCTCGCCAGTTCACGTTTATATGTACATGTTCAATGCTACAATTATATATAGTTTTGAATTAAAAGTTCAATTTATATTTATATCATGAACTGACTTTAACTGAGCAACTGTTTAAACTAGGAAACACTGAACAGCTGGACTGAAGTTAACAAATCAGAAGTTTGACAGGTGATATTCTATCCCCAGGACTTGAAGTTTGTTACCTCAAAATGATATGAGATAGGATATGCACACTAATGAAGTGTTTCATAACGGGATTAAAAAATCGTTCAATCATTCCAGACATATAATAGTTGTCTAGTTAAATTAATTCAGTGATGTAAACAATATCATGAATAATTTTCACATACGTCTTTTAACGATTAGAAGCAAAGACTTTAAAGCAGATATTATAAACCCATCTGTCCATAGTTTCAGTGAAACAGAATAAAAACTAACTCTCTAGTTTTCAATAATGATCAATTTTGTGTAGTTAAAGCCTAAAAATTATGTAGATAATACTGGTAAATAATACTCTGTTATTATGAATGGAAAATGTGTGCACAAAAATTTTTTCAGTGACCTGGTTTTTATCTTAGTTAGATATACATATGTCCAATTTATTCAGAAATTCTAGAGAGTCACTGATATATTAAGATTCGTCAATGGAACATATGACTAATTCATAGAGATAGTAACAAAATAACTTGAATTGAATAACCACTGAAGACCAGGCTTGATGGATGGCTGTTGCATCCCAGAATATAACTACTCCGTAGTTCAAAGATACGAAGTCACCAGAACTCGAACCTAGAACGTTTGGTTACTCTATAAGCGCATCACTTTATGGTCAGTGGGTTGTAATTCGATGGTTCGAATTTATAACTTCAATCACTTCTCGATATTGTGGTAATATTATTATCCACTTTGAATATATAGTGACTGTTACACATCCGATTCAGTTAAGATTCACTTAAGAAAATCTAGTCACCTTTCGAGTTTACAAAGTGACTGATATATTGCAGTGAAATCGGTTTTATAACCCATCAATTGTAAGAAATATCCAAAAGAAAATCATCGAGTATGAGATTATACCAGAGAACTAGTTGGTTAGGTTCATGGTTTTTATTATCTATTGTTTTAGGCTAATCGTAAAAGCAGATTTAAGATAAAATGTTGAGTTTTTTTAATTTTACAGGGAACGTTAGTTAAAACATGCCGATTGTCACTGTTAATAGAAAACATTTCTGGATTAGTATGAAGCAATTTTCAAAAACCGAATATTTTAGAAGTCAGGTTATGTCATCTGAACACTTTTATATTGACACAGCAACTTTTCTTAACAAACAGAACATGGAGATGTAGTAGGTTGATTTATGAATTCCGTTCAATGGTTTTTGAATCTGCAGAATTCCTCGATGACGTCATAAAGAGCCAGGATTAGACTGAGGACATTTTGTATAATCAGCACGCGTGCTGATAAAACGTCTAGGAAATTGACGAAGTATTTGTTATACTTTTATTGGATGATTACTTACTCTGTTATCAAATTTGGTACACTAGTGGAACTTTTCAGAGAATCACAGTTACTAATAAATTCAGAAGTGCCGTTGTTTTCTGTACACTAATTAGCCTTGAAGTAAAGCATCCTTTCTTATTTTTGCCTATTGTGTAGTGTTCGGGGCTTAATCATGGAAATATTTTGGGGTTATAGTAAGCGTTTAGAAAGTCAGTATCAAGAGTTCAAGTGGCAGACATATCGGTTTCGTTCTTACCTATCAAAACCTTTTACTGATAGACTAATTATTCACTTTTAATATATCGATAAGCTTCACCTTTTTAAAAGTATATTTAATTAAAAGTGCCTGGATTACATTGTTTAATGTTCAAATAAAGAATACAATTTTATGCACCTTGTGAGCATAGTTGATTTTCAACTACCTAAACGGTTCAGTAGTATATATAGGGAGAGGGGATTAGTATCTTAACTGTTCCGTTAAATTACACGTTATACAACTATGTAAACTTGCCAGTCACTCATGAGTTTCTTAAATTTTATTTTTTTCATGTACAAATTTCGTGGAAACCAGTTCAATTTGTTAGTAATATTTGACTTCATTTGGGATCCCACAGAAAATCAAGGAGCAGTGGATAGCTATTTCGTCTTAATGTAGGAGACCTCATGAGTGTTCACCGGTTTTCACTTTCCCTTGTCATTTCGAAAAGAAAACAATTTGTCCATTAGTAGTTAGAAACATTTGAGAAGAGTCTGTAAATTTAACTTTCTTGACGGTTGACACTTATCAAAATGCTTTCCTGAGTATCTCGTAGGGATAGATGCTTTCTATGAGACTTGAATCCACGCAATCCAGTATTATAGTCAGCTATCTTATCACTGAACCATTTGCGCTGTAACTAATCTGCTACAAGGCTGAGACACATTTATTGATCACTGACTAGTAACGCACGCCATTTTTGTTTCATTTTTACCGCTAATAGAATTCAATCGACCACTTAGCTATATACACACTGCTTGAGATCGTTTGTTCTGACATTATGTGTTCATAAACTCAGTTAGGCTAAGTGTTCTTTATTCTTTCACCAGTTCAACATTTCCTCAACATTTATTTCTATAATCAAAATTTTTCAATTCAGTTCAATTTCGACAAAAAGATAATACTTTATTGAGTTAAAAAAGAATTCAGTTTGGTGAAAACTAAATGAATGTGCTTCAATGTTCACTACACAAAATTCATTATGACACAAATAGTAATTATCTAGTAATTACTATATACGATCTCAGTTAATGTTTAGTCTATTTCTAGTATATGAGTTGAATACTTTTAATTATAAGAGAAAACAAAATGTAATTAGGTAATAATTATGAAAGTTCAATCACATTATTATTACTCCTACTAGTACTTTTAGTACTACTAATAATAGTAATATTAGTAATATTAGTAAGATATATATTTAATTTCGAATGTTTGTTTGTTGTAAATCTTTAATACTGAAGATTATGTGTCTTCTCATTTGAATTCGATAGAATTGTTCTAACTTATTCTGAATCTCATTATCGAATGTTTAGGCGATTACTTTACATATTATTATTCTTAGTGTTAATTTACATAGATTATTATCACTGAAGTTCATTAGTCTTCGGTTTACATCTCTTAATTTTTGTTTTAATGTTATTCACCGAAGTGAGATTTTTGTAGTTGAACGATAAATTTCATACCCCATTGCACAAGCAGGTGGCCACCAGGGCCCAGTAGCTAAGTGGTCAACACGATGGCATTTGAAACCAACGGTGCTGGGTTCGAGTCCCGGGGTCAACATCAAATTTGGGATGGAGATACATCCAGCTGACGCGTCCCAAATAGGACGAAACAGGCGTCCTGGATGCCCCTGCTAACCACTATCCATCTTTGCTTAATAAATAATTTTAGTTTTAGTCGACTTTTCATGGCTACTTCTTTATAGTAACAACTACTATAATGGTTGTGAAAAGAAGTTGTAAGCCCCACGTGAATCTCGTCAAACAAGTTGTACATATACGTAGACAGATTCTGTTGTGTGACAAGTTCATCATATGACGATACTAAAAAGTCTAATATGAAATATTTAGGGAATGTGTGCTAATCAACAGATAAGCCAACAGTGAATATAGAGAATGAATGAATTACGCAATTGTATATTTGATTTGTTAATCAAATCAAATTATAGTATGACTATTACAAAATTATAATCAAGTTTTCATTTTCTTTTGTTATATATTGACAAGTCTATAGTTTGCATCGAAACTTAAAACCTCCATTAAAGGAAGTTTTCAATGTGTTTATAAACAATTTTCTTTAATTTTTAGATAAGTGAATCTATGATTTACAGATAATCTTGAATGACCATAAGAAACCTCATGATTGATATTATTATTATAGGCTTAATTCAATATTATATTTTTGGTACAATATAGAATTCTCAGCACAAAGTATTTCAACAAATTTCCGTCTCTTACTTCTTGGTCGATCCTGACGATAAATATTGAGTGATCGCCAGTTAGATGTTAACAGTCCAGTAAATGAACATTTGAATAATGTATATTTATTTTACTGCATATTGCTAGCGACCACAATATCACTTATTGGTCTTTTTGTAACTTTGACAACGAAAGGTTGTACACTTTTGCGAAACGCACCTGAATAAGTTATGTGATTAATAAACATAATGATGTATTAAAACAAACTAAAATAGATAAGTTGCTGAAATATCTAGATGGTAGGAACAGATAGTTCGGATACTCAAGCAGGACGCCTTTTATTACGTTCAAAAAAGGGTTAGTAACATATATTAGGAATTAAATCGAGGATTTTCATCATACCCTTTAATCAATAAAATGGTATAAAATACTTTTTAAAACTATGAATAAATAAAAATTATACAGACGCTACTTTAAATCTTATTATTTTATACCATAAATTATAATCCTTTCGTGATATACCCTTCATTTTATTACATCATAATAATAACTGAAGTAATAAATTTCCCCCCTCCCCTTGAATCTTTTGTTTCCTACTGAGAGTTTTAAAATAATCAAATTTTTTTTGTAAAAAAAAAACAAACAGCGCCAACTTTCAAATACTCCTGTCAACTGTGATAAATTTTCTAAGAAAAATAATTAATGTTTTTATGACTGGTAACAAATGAGAAAAAAAATTTTTTTCTTTTTCTTCTTCTTCTTATTTATGAAAAGTTTCGATTATCATTTGAAGAATTAAAATCAAAATTAAAATAGATAAATGATGTGTTGTGTATTATAAGTGTTTACATTCTCTTGTAAGCACCTCTTAGTTTGATTAAGTAAAAGGATAGTTAAAACAGTTGACAACTTGATTCTAGTACATTTAGTACAAACCGGTCATGTAGACAATATGGAGCAATCAATTACAGTAATAATATTGTGGTAACAACAATCTACCTTGATTCATCAGATTAAGAATCCTTTAGACGACTGAAACAATAGCTATTCGGCTTAAAAAAAATATGTTCAATCGCTACTTTTACCATGGCCAACTTCTGATCTAATAAGTTATAATGATCATTTGATGATATACTAACGTAATTCGATTCATGTTCATATAACCTTCCTTTTGTATTTTCATAGCTTAAACTCATCTTAGTCACATATTCTTATTATCTGTATAATACTTGCAAAGATTTTGGGAAATTTATTTGGTATCCATGTCTATTTATTAATTTGTACGTAATTTATATAATACCACATATTACATGATTTTGAATTTGTAATTACATTAATATCTCTCTTATCCCATATTGACCATATTTATTCAAGTCAACGCTTCATATTAGTCATCCAACGTTAGCGATTTTCAGAATAGGGTTATGGAGATTGTTCAGTTTTGATTAAGATCATGAATTGATCAATTTGTGAACTTACCATTGATAACCTGGATACACTGGACGGCATTTTCGTCCTAGTATGGGAATCTTCAAAAGAGCATCATTTATTTTATTTTATTTTAGAATTCTAAATTCATATGCTACAATTTTTATACGATTGCCAGTGAAGACCTGGCAGCATTTGACGTTTACCTCATCCAAGTGTGCAGGCGGTGCGCATTCATAGTCCTGCACGTGAGACTTGAATCCAGAACGTTTGGTCTCACGCCTGAAAGCTTAACTCTTAGACCAATGAGCTGGTATCCAACAGTGTTAATGACCAACTTCAATCAATTCACGAAATCGCCCGACCAAGGGTCGGGAGTGAAACAGATGTTGTAGGTCGTATTGGATGTTCTTCACTCTTATGGCTTGAGACACTAATCAACATTATATATCATATCTTCAGTAGGACCGGTGACCTAAGTATCGATTAACACACAGAGCAATGAACAATAATCTATGAGATTAACTCTCATCGGACCATGAGCTCCTTCTAACGAAATAGTCAATTAAAAAACTAAGACGAAAAGCAGAATAAATCTTTTTTGTACTCATTTCAATTCATGACTCAAAGCGCATACAATAACAGGCTTGAATTTGCTGATCACACAGCACACCGTATTAGAAATCATACTTGAAAGATAATCATAACATAAGTGGTAGTATTAAACAAACAGTACATAATTAATAAGAAATAAGTAAGGAATAGTAAAACGTATAGTGACAATCAATCAATCCGCTGCGAAAGTTTCAACTTTCCCAACATCTGTCCCGTTATAACACCTACACTATATCGTAAATTGATTAACGTTGGAGTTATAACATCGAAAACCAACCCAGTTATTCTAATGTTTAAAAGTTTGCTGAAAGACCTGGAGATTTTGAGTTTTATCCTGAGCAGAATCATGAATTCATATGATTAAAGAGCTTGATTACCAGGACTAAGCACCTGTTTAGTACTCCATGATTTCCATTAGTATCCTTACAGAGATCAGTCTGTAACTAAATCAAACTATGATTTAAACTAATCTTCATTAAAAATCTCTTCAGTTAAATCCTTGAAATATCTGAAAATCAATACAGTTGAAGATTTCATTATTACTAAACCATTGTATTAAATATAAATTAAAAACTTATGTTAATAACATCAAATAATTCAATGAACTATTGTTATCATTTTACGTAAAGAATATTAGAAGGGAAAAGAGTAAAACACGATGGTTTTGCATTAAATTTAAGGAGCACTTCCGGTTTATAAGCAAAGATGGATAGTGGTTAGCAGGGGAATCAAGGACGAGCGTTTCGTTCTATTTGGGACTCGTCAGCTAGATGTACCTGCATCCTAGAGTTGATGTTCACTCCAGGACTCGAAACGAGTACCGTTCGCTCCAAATGCCATCGCACTCTCCATTATCCATATTTACTTAGAAAGCTTGTGACTTTAGGCTATATCGAGGCAACCTGCACAGGATGCATATATGCCAACATGAGACTGATCAATTGTAGTTTTAAATAACAATGGGAAGATACAAGTAAAACAACACCAAGTGAATTTCCTATTTATTATTATTATTATTATTATTATTAACCTCGTCTCTCTCTCTTATAATCAATTAATTTCATTTTTGTTTCATTTCATTTTATCCAAACACTAGGTATTACGAGTAAGTTACAATCTGTTGTCTATATTATGCTGTATATTTACTTGTTTTGTTATTTTTGTGAACATTATTTATAGGTTTATCTTAAGCCTAATTAAGATGAGCTGTATTATATACTTGTTGTCGGAAGATAACACATTCAAGTCATTCAATGGTAACATTTTTAGGTTGTATTTTAAATAAAAATATGTTAAATAATTTATTACAATTGATTGATCACTGTGTAGTGACCAGTGTAATGTATGTCTAGTCTCTTCATGTTTCTGATCAAATTCAATAGATTGTTATAATGTAATCACTAGTCTAAGTGACTTCTTATTGAATCTATTATGTTGAGATAGAAGTCAACAGAAAAAATTGCTTCACTTAAGTTTCAGGCTAATTAGAACTCAATAGCGAGGTGTACCTGTAATCTTTAGGATTGATTTTAGCGTTGGTTAATTAAGCCTACAAAGACGAAAATATTCATACACTAAAGGAAAAATCTGTCAAAGTAAATTGTTTAATGATTGTATAAGTTTTTTTCTGTATTATAAAAGATCTGCTAATTCTGTTACCGTATTCATTCCACAACTGAGAAGAACTCTCACGTTCTTGAACCTTTAGTCAACGTTTGAAGAGTTTTAGTAAAATACCAGAACATAATATTGCTCAGTTTCTAAACGTAACTACAAATGACCTCAAAAAGGTGCAGATAAGATTGATTAAGGATTCGCTTTGAACTTAGTACTTTGAAAGTTCTTTCGGTTCATTTTGTTCATGAGTCATGACTCTATGGAAATTTAGCTTAATGGTTATGTGTAGACGGCATTTTTATCTCATGGAAATAAATTTTTCTTAGTCAGTCAGCTACAACGTAGGAACAAGCACATATATGCACCGGTCCAAGTTGCCATACCTCATTAGCACAGCAAGATGAACACCGGATTCATAGAAGTACTTAATTCAGTGATGGTAATATCTAAAAAAGAAAGATTTTATGTAAGGATACAGTACAGAAAAAAAGAATTAGTTGGTAGAAAGAAAGATATAAAGTGATTTTAATCTCATGGTTTAAGGGAAAACAAAGAGTGTATACACTGACACCATTTTGATCGATTCTGAGCCATGTCACCCAGAGTGTCCAACCATTGATTATAATAGTCACACGAACCTCAACCAAGTAGTCTGCATCTACCAACATGGCTCAGAGCGTGAGATAATGATCAAGATTCAAAATTTTTTTTGAAATCCGATATAATTTACATTTAAACAAAAGAACATGCAGAAATTTTTAAAAAATAGTTTTAAATAGCAATTCAAGGGATAAAAACATCTACAGTTTATACAATTCTCAATTGTACTACTTAAAACGATTAGTAACTATGTTAACTACAATGTTAAAATAATAAAAATGTAACATAAAAGTAACATTTTCTTCCAATCTAAAAAAGTATTGAAATAGAACAATGAATAGACACTTAAAAAAACCCACACTCCCCTCCTTGTTTGTCTAAAGTTTATTTTAATTGAAGTTTTTTTTTTAATTGACGAACCATTAAAGATACTTGTTCAAGAAAGATACCTATCTCTTCAGATAGAATACTTTTCTTCACAGTAGGTTTGCATTTTCTTTCGCGTTCTATTCCCTTCTCTCTCTCTCTCTCTGTATGGAAATGTGTGTGGGAAATATAATGAGACAAACATAGGTTACTTGAGAAATTATTGAATAATTGAAGGAATAATGTACGGTGATATGGTGATTCACTAATTCGATGATTATCTATTCACTAAGAAATTCAGATATTTATACCATTCGATCAGTTTCAATTAGGAACAAATAATCGAATATTGTTGAACTGTTGTGTTAACAGAGGAGGAGACCAGTTTACTTGATTTCAACTAAAAATCACTATTCTAGTATGGAATAAAATATTAGAAGTGATATAAATTTAATCAGAATAATGTCAAAGGTTTTGTGATTAATCGATGTTTAACTGTCTATAGGGTTTTCATTCTTTTCGAAAAAACATTGGTTAAACAGACAAGCCTCAGTTAATAAATAAATGCTCTGACCTATTCTAAATCGTCAGTGTGTCTGATTTTTGGATCACGGTCGTTTGGTTCTAGAAATTTACTTACAATAATATTCTATGAGACTCAGCTTTTTCCAGCCACGCTAAGGTGGATTTCTGTCTTACTTCTAGACTTTGGCAGTATATTTTATGACTCAGAATGTGAGTATACCGGAGACTTACCAACCAAGAGGGTACTGCTTGTGGCTTTTTTTCTCTCTCTCCTCTATCTCCGCATGGTTGTCCATTTTTCGTCACTCAAGACAGTCTCGTCGGAACCATTAGGAATACTGACAGTGTTATCGGGGTCTTCAATTTCTACTTTAGAATCATGAATACAAATATTAGGTGTTATTTCACTCTTCATTAGCTTCAAAGGAGATTTTACTTTTCCGTGAATCACATTCGGGTGTTTGGCAAGTTCCGTAACAACATGCACAACACTGATAAATTCTTTGCTCCCAGTATTCGTGTTACCAGTGCAGTCACCGTCAATCTTCTTGAAGGCCAAAGCCTGGAGGCTCATAGCGTCTTGAATCTTTAATGTCTTATTCGAACCACAAAACATACAAAGTCAATGCGAGTTAATCTTCCAGCATCTTTTGTATGCGATGGGATTAAAACGACCCATTCTTCCTATTTTGGGGAAAATTTTGTCCGTGTTAGGTAAATTTTGGGTAAGCCGCTATAGGAAACTTTGGGGAAATAATACAAAACCCCCAAATTTCCCAAAACTAGAGAAATTGGGGGGGGGGTACACATCATAAGGAGCCACATTTTATACTCATCACACTGCATTCCTTCCTCGGAAAGAATAGTTTGGCTGTCCACATTTATAAGTACTGTCAACTATTAAAAACGGATTAAGAGCATTAAAAATACGATAAAATACACAATATGATCACTAGTGTCAGAACTCGGTAGAAAAAAGTACCTCGAGGAGGATTTGGGAGAATCCCAAACCAAGTATAGTTTGGATTCAACAATTACAAAAAAGCCAAGTTAACCAGGACTAGTACTAAATCACTGCCCTTTTTGAAACAGGCACTTTCTGTTTTTCTTGTTGTGAGCAGTTCTGCACTGGCTCATTAATGGTATATCAACGTCAATAACACTTCATTGGGAAGTAAACAAGACTCATCATAACACGTACTGTTTCAAGAAGGTGATTTTAAGCATCGTGTTTTGGGTGACGGTTTATCCTTACTAATCTACTGCTCAAGCAGTAGTAGTGTAAAACACGACATTAGGCTGGAGGAATATACGTTTGTTTCAAGAAGTTACAAAGTATTTACGTAATACATATACACAGTATTCATCATCTATTTGCATCTTTCAGTGTTTCTTGCCATCTGAACTGTCTTCTCGTCTGGTCTCCATTTGTTTTGCCAACGTCGTGCGTTCGATGCACTGAATATCATCACAAGAATTGCAACTTCGACACCACATTTAGCTACACACTACTTACATACATCCTTGTGGGAGGCGTGCACTACAGTAGTATTAGTAGTAGATAGACAATGGTTTTAGTCACTGTGCTACCACTGAAAGATGTACATGACGGTTAAGATCGAACCCCCTAGGCCTAATGACAACTGATTATTTCACACATAACTGGAAGTCTGAAAATGCATAAACAAGCGTTAGTAGTTAATTACTGTAAATTATAAAACGAAAAACTAGAGATTTTATCAACATGAACAGAAGGAAAGTTGACAATTATGCTAACAGAACTTGTAATCATACTGAATTACCAAAACAGAAACACAACTAAGTCATCATTATTCCCTGCTTTTGAATAAATAATAAGATAGACAAATTAGTTATCTAATGAAATATCATTCAGATGTCAACCTGTTAAACGCCTAAGTAGAAGGGAATGAAAAAGATGCAATTTCCATCTAATAGTCTGACTCGATAAGTGATCTATATTAAAAACAAATTTGAACTTTATTTTGCATAGCTTTCTGTGCATTAATATGATGTGTAGTTCAAAGTTTAGCTTGCTTTACTTTCAAATTTTCCTTTGTTCTAATTTAGACAATGGCACAGAAACGTACATTAACATCTTTGTCGTCTAATCTAACCAGTTGGACACTGACAGATCAAGAATTGGTAGGAAGTTATTTTAAATAAATTGTTTTTCTGTTGACTATTTGTGAAAATTGTTAAATTTTATGGTTTACATCAAAGATTGATCTTAAAAAGCTTCTGGAAACTTGGTAGCACTGCATCGCTACTGCGTCTTGATAATTGTTAAGCTCTTGTCATGGGACCTGAGAGCCCTGAGTTTGATATCTGGTTAGTCTACGTATGTGTACTGCTGAGGAGTCTTATACTAGCAGGAAATAACTACCCACTGCTTCGCGATTTCCAGCTGTAATTTAACTAATATCAGTCAATGATGCAAGCTATAATAATTCTTTTTATATTGCAATCGAAATTAGAGTAATCACACTTTTTTGGACGGCATACGTAGCTTGAATTAGGCCAATTCATACAAAAATTTCTTTGAATAAGTTTTCGTTGTCCCTACCCAGGTTGATTACAATAGTGCTTCATGTTAAATGCTTGACGTTGTAGGTAATTGGCAAATTTTTATGATGGACGAGAATATTACTTACCGAATCTAGGTAATCTGAAACCTGTAAATCAACTCATATTTTCTATAGACGACTTCAATCAAATAAACAGTCATGAGAGATATCAGTAGATAACTAACAGAATGTTATATTTAGTATGGAGTTATGGTGATTTTTATAACGCGCAGTTTTACTTCGTCTAATGTTATAACAGTTCGGTTTCCACGTTTCCACGTATGGGACGTTAATTGACCTTAGACGAATATCTACACTAGATTCCCTCCCAGTTTCTATTCTACAGGACTTCAACACAACTCAAATCAAGAACACGTGATTAACCTGACAGCAACGTAAATATATTTCCACACCAAAACCCGACACGATCCAACAACAATGAACAATCAATAATAAGTGAGTAATAATAATAAGGATAGGGGAATATATAACTCATCTGACACCTGTCAGTCTAACTACATGCCTGACTAAGCAGACAACCAATCATTATCATTCTCGCTCACACATCAGAGATTATTGAATTTCATTGAAATCATTAACTGATCTAAGTTAAGCCACTATTGAAAATTTGGAAGCAGCGGACGACCGTTTTGTCATAGTATCGGATTTCTCAGCAGTAGATACACACGATCGCACACGTGGGAATCGAACCTAGGGTTTTCAGACTCACGTTCAAACACAACCTCTAGACCACTGAGCCGAAATCCAACAGTATCAACGCTTAACCTCAATCAATCTAGGATATTACGCAATTATTTATATGACATTACTGCTTATGTTAGGTAGATTATCTGAAGAAAAGTAATTTGAATCATCGATGCCAAGGTTGGACTTGGTAGTTTCGAATCGCCTGAGCATCGGGTAGAAAGTTAATGGTAACTATTTTTTATTATATCCCAATGAGTAGAAAAATTGAACTTCTGACGTTTCGTGACTTAATGCAAGTCCCTTCTTCAGAGTAAATAAATAACGGTATTAAATTAACACGTTTCAAAGGAAACAATTTTTTTCTTTTATCAAGTGACGAAACGTTAGAAATACAATTTTTCATACTCATTGGGATATAATACAGAATAAATTTATCATGAATTTGACTCATGTTTGCTGTGGACTCCCTTACACTAGTCGATGTTAGATAATGGTAGTTTTTTAGTAAGTCGTGAGTGAAACTCAGATAAACTACAAACAAATTTGCATATGTTTATATCATCCATTCTAAGAAGCGATGGCTATAAAAGACCCTGAACTAGTTAACTTATTCGGATCGATCATTAGGAAGAACATGAGTAGTTATGCTGATTCGTTTGGAATACATCTGAATAATAGGTGTTCGACTTAAATATCAAGACAACAAAGCAGAAATATGAAATACCATATGATCACAGTTGAAAATATCATAGTTCACTGATATATATGAAGTCGACCAGAGAGTTTCAGGAATGCATATTCTCATTTGTTTCTTACTTACTTACTTACGCCTGTTACTCCTCGTGGAGAAGCATAGGCCGCCCACCAACACTCACAACCCAACCCTGTCCTGAGCAATCCTTTCCAGTTCCTTCCAATTGTTATTCATTCTTTTCATATCTGCTTCTATTTCCCGACGTAATGTGTTCTTTAGCCTTCCACTTTTCCTCTTTCCTTCAGGATCCCAATTTAGGGCTTGCCTCGTGATGCGGTTTGGTGATTTCTGTAATGTATGTCCTATCCATTTCTATCATCTTTTTCTAATTTCCTCTTCAGTTAGAATCTGGTTTGTTCTCTCTCACAGAAGGCTGTTGCTGATGGTATCCGGCCAATGGATGTTGAGTATCTTGCGTAGACAGCTATTTATAAATACTTGTACCTTCTTGATTGTGGTTGTTGTAGTTCTCCAAGTTTCCGCTCCGTACAGTAGAACTGCCTTGACGTTCGTATTGAAGATTCTCACTTTGATATTGGTTGAAAGTTATTTTGAGTTCCATACGTTCTTCAACTGTAGGAATGCTGCTTTGCTTGGCCATTCCTCATCTTTACGCCTGTATCACATCCTCCTTGTTCATCGATGATGCTTCCCAGGTACGTGAAGGATTCTACATCTTCCGGAGTTTCTCTATCAAGTGCGATTGGATTGGTGTTCTCCGTGTTGTATTTGAGGACCTTGGTTTTCCCCTTGTGTGTGTTGAGGCCTGCTGATGCAGAGATTGCTACTGCCCTTTCCATCCTTATCTGCATTTCTTCGTGTCTGTTGGATAGGAGGGCTAGGTCATTTGTAAAGTCCAAATCGTCCAATTAATTCTGAGCTGTCCATCGTATTCCGTCAAGGTTCTCTTAATCCAGTCGACCATCAGAAGAAAGAGGAAGGGAGAGAGTAGACAGCCTTGTCCGACTCCGGTCCTTACTTGGAATGCATCTATCAGCTGTCCTCCATGCACGACATTGCACAGTAGTCCGTCGTATGAGTTCCGGATAAGTTGACGATCTTCTCAGGAACTCCGTAGTGTCGAGGAAGTTTCCATAATATTCTCTTATCTACACTGTCGAACGCTTTTTCATAGTCAATGAAGTTGATTTATAGTAACGAGTTTCACTCAACCGATTGTTTAACAGTGATCTGTAGTGTCGCGATTTGGTCTGTGCACGACCGATCCTTACGGAATTCAGCCTGTTGATCTCGAAGTTGGGCGTTTACTGAGTCTTTCATTTGGTCCAGCAACACTTTATTGAAAACGTTTTCTGGTACGGATAGTAGTGTGATTCCTCTGTAGTTCACACATTTGTTCAGATGTCCTTACTTTGGTATCTTGATGAGGTTCCTTCTTTCCGGTCTGTCGGTGGCACTTGTTTCTCCCCCCAAATCTTCCTGAAGAGAGGGTGAATCATACTTAGTTACTTTCATGTCTGAGTTTAGTGCTTCAGTTGGTATATTGTCAGGTCCTGCTATTCTCATTTGTACTACAACATTATGAAGAATAGCTACAGATCTCGACTGTATTCTGTAATTTCCACAAACACATACTGAAAATATTTATATTTATTTTATAGATCATTCTTTACTACTATTCGTCAAAATAATCCTAATTATCTGTTGAATATATCCTTATATTTTAGAAAATGCATGTTTATCGTAAAACATTACAAGCCTTGGCTTATCCCATATCAAGTAATACACCGCATAATTTTCAATTGTTTAGTGCTACCAGTCCTACTTATTGTTATGAATGTGAAGGCTTATTATGGGGTGTAGCCAGGCAAGGATTACGATGTACTGAATGTGGTGTTAAATGTCATGATAAATGTAAACGTTTATTAAATGCAGATTGTTTACAAAGTGAGTATATTATTTCCATATACATATATATCATAATAAAGTGATTTATTTTCACGTTTGGGAAGATAATTGCTGTATGACTTTGAAAGTTGACAGTAGTATATTCATGTTTATATTTAAGTGAGATGAGAAAACAATCAAGTAAGTGTGTCACCTAAATAAATAAGAATCAAAGTAATTCATTAACATACGATTAGCTTGATACTTATTATAATAAATGGTGAAAATTCGTTTGCATAAGTAGCCTGTCACTAATCACTCTTTTTGAATCGCTTTTACGCTTCTTGAAAAACAATATATATATTCATATCTATACTTGAAGAAGAGATGAATGTTGACTAATGTTCGTACAAATTATTTGTATTTAGTTTCTATCTTGAAGAACCAGTGAAATAAATGATGAATGGATAAGTGGTTTGTTCTAGTTTTTTTTCTATGACGTCTCACTAGTTCACATGGGGTCGAACCTCGGAACTGCGAAATTTCCAATGGTAATCAAAACAATATGAAGTAGAACTATCTGATAGTTTAATTATTACAATATTATTATTATTAGCTTTATTCAATATTATATTTCTGGTACAATATAGAATTCTCAGCACAAAGTATTTCAACAAATTTCCGTCTCTTACTTCTTGGTCGATCCTGACGATAAATATTGAGTGATCGCCAGTTAGATGTTAACAGTCCAGTAAATGAATATCTGAATAATGTATATTCTTTTTACTGCATATTGCTAGCGACCACAATATCACTTATTGGTCTTTTTGTAACTTTGACAACGAAAGGTTGTACACTTTTGCGAAACTCACCTGAATAAGTTATGTGATTAATAAACATAATGATGTATTAAAACAAACTAAAATAGATAACTTGCTGAAATATCTAGATGGCGGGAACAGGTAGCTCAGATGCTCAAGCGGGCCGCCAGTTATAGTAGACATGTTTAATTTATTCATGACTAAAAGGAAAAACTGACCATGATAGAACCAACAAAAAAAAACTAGATTTCATTAGAAAAATGTATTGAAAATCTTCAGTAAATTCCACTTAATCTTACTTATCTTCAACTGATTTCTTCTTTTCTACTGTTAACCTTAAAATTAGGCCAGCTGTAAGTATAAATCTGTGTATGAGTGTGTGTGTGTATTATTACCAAATATCTAGAGTAATATGACATAAATATCAGCTCAATGACACAAAAAACACAAAAGAGATAAAATAATCTGGAACGAAATAAAATTGTAAAAAGCTTTCACATATATGTTCTTCTACTGTTTGTTTCTCGATACGTTTTTATTATTATTACCAATTAATGATATGTGTGTCGGTGTGTAAGTGATAGTCTTGATGACCATATCATTCTAAATCTCGAATGAATCTAATTTTGGAACATTATCCATTCCCTTAAGGAAAAATTATTGTAACAAATATCTACTTGTTCATAAACATTATAGAATAGCTTTCTTATTTTTTCTCCTTCCAAAAAAAGTTATTTTTCTTCGCAGAGTACGCTGTGGTCTTTGTGGTTAAAAAAATATAAGATCTACAATGGATGATTGTCTCATTGAAATATGTGATGAAAACAGTATGATAATTTTCCATGTAAATTCAATTATTGTTTATACCTACTACTTCTTATTTCCCTTTCTTAGCAATTGGCCCATAAAGAATTCAACAATTTCCTATAAATTTAAGTCTAAAATGTAAGAAGGAACAGTTCAGTTAGGGTTTACTCAGTAACAATCAGATGACATCACATTCAGTATATTTCAACTAAATAACTTGATGAATTAAAGTATTAGAAAATGATATACAATATCAGAAACGGAAATTAACAGATTTTTGTACTGAACATCTTTCTTTTTTATGTGAGATTCTTTGATGGATGGACAATGGTACTGATACTGTAAAATGATTTGTAAGATAGTTAACTAATGAGTAGGACTGATAAATCAAACATTTTATCGTAAAGAGAATGCAGCTTGATCAACCAATTGTTGTCTTTCGAATGGGTTAACCTTTTCGACATGTTATTACAATATTGTCGTACAGGTAAGAACAGCAATCTTTACGGAACAAGGTCTGGTAGACTGGTAAATGAGAAGGAAGTGGTCAATAACATTTAAGCTATAACACCTCAGACTGTGACTATGGGTCATGTCTGCTCTCATTTCATGGAGAGCATCGGTTCTCTCAAGAATGTTAATAAATTCTGCTAACGAGTAGCATTTAGTTCAAAACCTAGATTTAGGGTTATCAGTAGCTTATCTTCAATTGTCTAACAATAAAAGACACTGCACACAGCGTTTAATCATTAATATTAGGTGACCTATAGTCCTTAACGAGTTTTATCGACCAAGTTACTATATGGATACTATTCTAGGTGAATCGACATTATGTTGAGATAACGAGATTGTTGGTGGTAGTTGGCAGAAAATTTTGCATCCAGATTTTATCCTGCTTGGCGCTCTCCAATAAAACATACTACCAATCCCGAGGGGACTGATGCTCCAGTGTAGCAGAATACCCGATTTCACAGTCTGAGATGTTACCACTGAACTATCTGGGTTGTGAAGGACTTCCAGTAGAACTAAGTTGTTTGCAACTAGGATTATTTTTTACTCTCAACGATAATCGTCAGCTGTCAATGAACACGCAATATAAAACCGATTTAATTCGTATCCAAGGTATTTTGTGATCTAATTTGATTGGATGATATTATTCATCAGTAATTCATTAGAAATCAGGTTATATTTAAAGAGGAAGAATGTATTTGTAAAATCTCAGCGAAGGAATTTGAAGTGAATCCAACATTTTGCCTGGCAATCTGATCCAAGCTTTTTCAAGGAAAATATAATCAAACAACAAAATTATCGCTGAGATTTTACAAATACGTTCTTCCTCTTTTTGATGACTCACATTAACTCGGCGCCCAAATATTGTGAAACTATTCGTTCAAATTTAGACAAAAGTTCTTATTTACAGGTTATATTTATCTGATGAAGATTAATATTTTTAAGCTATAAAATATGTACGTTAACTTCCTTCCTGAATGCATTAATGCATAATCTATCAATTAATTTCGTTACTTACTTATTTATATAATTTAGTAGTATGCTTGTCCTAATAATTTGACATTCAATAAATACTTTTATTGGTTCACTATGAGTTAACTAATTAGCCATTTAATTTATTTCACAGGTTGAAATCATGAGTCAATTGAAGCTAGACCACCACGGAAAACTTGGAAGCACTGGACGGTCGTTTCGTTCTGGTATGGGACTCCGTTGGATGCCGGCTCAGTAGTCTAATGGTTAAGTGCTCGCGCGCGAAACTAGTAGGTCCTGGGTTTGAATCCCGCGGGATCGTGGACGCCCGCTGCTGAGGAGTCCCATATCAGGACGAAACGGCCGTCCAGTGCTTCCAGGTTTTCCATGGTGGTCTGGCTTCAATTGACTCATGATTTCAACCAGTGAAATTTCTAAAAATCTCCACAAAAACCCATTCTGATAATATTTAATCTATGTTTAGGACATTTGGAAACGACTGACAAAATAATTTCATTTATGATAAGTCATAATGTTTAACAGTTGAAATTTCAATGCGGTATTCAATAGGATTGAGGTTATTGTTTTAATGATAGCATTGAAATAATTTAACATGATTTGATATAATTGAATTGATTCTGTATTCTATTTTAATTATGAATTTGCTGGCATCAACATGATGATTGTTACTTCATTTGGCATAGATTTCTAGTAGTTCCATTGAATTTCTCAGAAACTGGTTTTAAATAAAAAGGTATTGAAAATTGGTGGGTACTGAATAATTATTTTGCACAGGTATGAGATCACATAGCAGTGTGTATCCACAGCTCTCTCATGAATTTAAACATCAACTTTAAGCCTCAGAGTGAAAGTGTTACTGTTGGGTCAATAACTTGCAAAATAGTGATCAGAAAATTCTAATGAGGATGAGACATCTGTTTAGCTCATATACATTCAAACAAAAGATTGGAAAGACTGAATTAGAGAGAATGGAAACAGAAACGAGAGGGTAATTTCAATAATAGCGTAAATGAAATGATCATGAAACGTGTAAGGGACAGCTGAAGGAAGATGTACAAATAATGTATTCAATGTATGGTTTTCATATTTTAGGAAAGCACTGTTTACTTTTGCATTAAACAACAGATTGTTTATCCCCACCATTAGAATTAAATACTCTGACCAATCAATTGGACTATTTGCCTATTGTGAGCAAACTAAAAGTCCTACAGATCTTTTCGTTGAAATTTAAATATCCGGATGTGAACTTTATTTAAGAAAATCCTAGCTGACTAATCAAATGTTACTGTATCACATAAATCGATAAATAAAAGATATATTCTCGATGCTTTATCTATAGTTCTACTTTCATATCTGATTTTTAGTTGAATAGTCAGTGCATTATGACGGGTCATCATATTGGTGGTTTTCATGATTTTGTCAGTAACCAATCTGAAAAATTACAGTTTGATATATTCTTTCTTCAAATTGATTCATTTTAATAGCAGCTAAGTTTTATAAAGATGAATGATTTCAAAATGTTAGTATTAAAACGGAATTAGTTATTTTTAGGGGTAATATTCACATTTTGAAACTTAAAGTTTTTCATTTTCATTCTGATAAGAGTCACTACTTTCTGTTGTCTAAGAAATCTTGAAGTTTCTGTAAATACCTATATAGAGATGTTGAATTTTCATTGATCTTTCAACTTGATTCGGATTTGTTGTTTGCCCGTCTTTCTAACATGTCAGTCATTACACTTTTGAACTGGATTATACTCTTTTTTTAAGTCTTTGTAATCAAATTAGTACATGAATACAGATAAGTTTAACAAGTGATTTTAATTAGAAATTAAATAAAATCAGTTGAAGCTTGTTAATACAATTGCTTACACTTAGAATGTATTCAAATCATATTATTACTGAACATATAATTCCGAAATGATGAATA